TACCAACGGCAACTTTATTATTGCGATAGCAATTATATGGACCCTCTTAATTGGATTTCGCCACTGGCGTCACTCACCTTATATAAATACGTGTATATATATATATATATATATATATATATATATATATATATATATATATAAACGCTAGAAAGAAAAAAAAAACTCCAGAAAAAGACTACGGCGCGTCCCAGAACGTTCACGCAGCAAGATAGTTATATCCACCACTTACCACTGATGCCGGGAATTTGGGGGGGGTGCGGGGCTATCGTGTTTTCAACATTACGAGAAAGATGGCGCAATGAGCGCACGTCGTCACATAGTCACGCCGCAGCGACATGCACTCATATCCCACGCGTATAGAATAAAGTGGTGTACGCTCGATCACGCGCCCTTATCTTGCATTTGTGAGGATCGTACGTTTTGGCTAGCCATTGGGTTTCGCCGGAACAATTTCGTTGTATTTACCAGGCGCACAAAGGTCACTGCGATTGCTGCACAGTCTCTATTTGTGAAAAGAGCGCGTTTTTCAGACACGTCGAAGTAACAACTGCCACGCTTATTCACGTTCATCTGTACCTGTGAGCACGTTTCGTGCGTTATTTGTGCGTGAGAAACGCGGGGCACGTTTCGATCGGCTTGACATTCTACGCGTGACCTTCCAATTCGCTGCTATCGCGTTCATCACTTCGCCTTTGCGGCAAAGCTGTGACTTTTTTTCACAACTCCAAAAAAGTTGGGGCATCACTGGAGTCTTGACATGTGGAAAATTCTTGAGCGGCGTGTGCGACCTCCAGACCTCAATATTATTGAGAGCACGTGGGGCACCATGAAAGCGTCAATGTTACATCGGCTGCTCCTTCGACTCTCGGTGGATGCACTGTGGACCACTGTAGAAACAGAAGGGGAGCAGCGTAGAGCCATCAGCAGCCGCTTTGCGCGTCCTGTACAGCTCCCAGCCAGGCGTGATGAGGGCTTTTATTTACGCTGCCGGAGACGCCACCTGTCACTGAAGCGAAAGAACGCTAAAGATCGAATTTATCAGAAAGCCGCGATCCGTGTTGATTAGGTGTCGCTTAAAATCCGACTCGCAATTTAGTTCACCTTCAAGCTGCGACGTCAGCAAGAAATATTTGCGGGGTCAGATAATAATTTTGTTTCAACCATAAAAAGTTCTCGCTATTATCGCTCTTGAAACGTCTTTCGAACTACTCTTCTTTGATTTACAAAGCTCCAATGTGTTGTTTTATTGCTCACGTGAGAAAAAGGCGAGAGATTTGTGTATAAATATTCTCTTTTCATCAGTTGTACACTCTTAGAAAAAAATTTCATAATCAGTTAGTAAACGCGTGTGTTTAATAGTTTCTGGAGTATTTTACTACCTTCACAGCATACTTTTACTAGCCACCGGCTAGTACAGCTAGCAACTTTAGCCGTTACTAACCAGGGAACCTTTCTTAGTGTTTTTAGCCAAGCAAGTATTAAGCCACTTACGTTGCCAGATCTGTCGTAGACGCCGCAGTACATTTTGCCCTAATGGAATAGAGCTTGCCTAAGTAAACTTTAGGCAAGCTCTATTATTTCTTGACTACCTTGGAATAGGAGTTTCATGCTACGTAATTGTACACACATAAGTAAATATAAGGGTAAATGATGATGCACATAATACAGCAATTATCTTATACATTCTGTGACTGCTAACCAGTACGAGGTGTGCGGTCCCAAAGCAGGGGTATATATAGTCTTCAAGCTGCTGCTACGGTAGAATTCTATAACTTCCAAGTCTTAAAGATTTTCTTGCCGTAGGACTCGGCTTCATCAAGTGTGAGGCTCTTGGGACGGCTTTACGGTCTCCCATAGTTGACTACCCAGTACACTAAATCGTTAAACACTTTTTCTAAACACACTTGTAAATGCATTTGCATGCGTGCTCTCGTGATCCACTCATATGAGTTCTCATATGAGCATACTATCATGTGACCATGATGATCATATGCTCCTATGCACTCATATGTGTATATTCCTCGGGACTCATATGGGCATATCATATGCTCATATGAGTCCATATGAGCATATGAGCTTCACATTTGATCATACATATGTGAATATGATTTCATCATATGATCGTGTGGTCAATTCTGTATAAGTATGTTGCTGTGCTGCACACTTACCCCAGTATAGATATATGACGTGATTAAAAGCCATTAATAATTTACGACCGCCATGTGAATTCGTTTTTTATACTATACTTTTCTAATAAAATCATATTGATATGGCTACGTCCACGAACTTTTAACAAAATAGGCTAAACCTCTGGTTGCTGGGGTTACTAACAACTTAGTAATGAATTAACCACTCGAATCAGCACTATTCATTTACCAACTAGGTCGTAACTTTAACTACCCAACCACGTAGTGCTTTCACCCAGCCTGTAAGTCTTTGGGCTAGTGTTTGTTACGAGACCAGCGAGGTAGTGTCTTTCACTAGGGTTATTTTTACTCGCTGCATTTACTAGCTGGTTAGTGGATTCCGTGACAAGTAACGGGCTAGTACTTAGTGAATATACCAACCTTTTTTCTAAGAGTGTATGCGAAACAGTTGCAATATAATTATTCATGTTTATGTTTTAAACTGAAAAGTCCTACTTTTTTATATTATCGGATGACACCAATCACGCCATCAAACGCCTGTGGTCAAGACCGTAAACCAATGGTCAAGAACTAAACCTCAACACGCTTCCTCTGAAAATTCACGCGAAATTCTTGTACTCACTACACTCGTTAGCACTACACTCTAAACGAGTGTACGCGCTACACTCGTTTGTGCTAACGTTACCTTCTGAACTATTCTTTACGAAATTTAGAATTTTTCACCACTTCTTACTGAAACATATTTATTTATTACCTTCAATTCGAAGCTGGAAAACTGTATTTTTTTAAGTATTTCTAATACGAAGAGCACTTCACTAGCGTTCGTAATCTGGTTGTCTCCAAGTAGCGACACTCAATCTGAAGGCTGTTTTTGCTGCAGGAAATACGTCACATTGTTAGCAAAGTCTGTTTCATGGGAACGCAAGCTCGGTGAAAAAAAGAGCGTGAACATTAGGGAGTTTTAGAATACCGTTTGTAAGCGCTGCGGGTGTTGCGGGCGTAGCGGGCGCCATACGAGTTTTAGAATAGCGTTTGCCCTACTGCGATCCGCAACGCACGATCGCAGCGAGACCGCAGCCTCGAAACCAGCGCTTGCGGGCCACATGCGGGCCGGGCCGCCTTTACCGCACGCAATTTCGAATTTTTTCGTGCGGTGCGCGAACGCGAACGCCGACTCGCGTCAGAGCGCATGCACAGTGACAGCGACCGCACCGCGAAGGCTCGGAGTGCGCTATTTTAAAACTCCCTATAGTAGTAGACGACACGAAGCCGCGCCTGCAGGCACTGCCCCGCCGACGCGCGGACGGGCTGGCTGTAGTTGCGCGCGCACGTTCGCCCTAACAGTGGCCGGAAGCGTACGTCGTATACCTGAAGCAACAAGTTCAAGTTTACCGTAATAGTCATCGCCATACCACAACTTCTTGAAACTGCTGCGGTATTTCAAATTTTTCAGTAATGTCTGTGTTACGCAGAAGGAAACCTTCAAGCCCTGATTGTGTTGCGCATGTGCCCAGTCGTGGCCAGGATTCCCAGTATTTTTTTACGGTGGGTGAAGCTACAATACGTTGACTATCGCAAAGTTCTCTGATAACTTGTGCTTTTTTGTGTTACTCTTCAGGGTGCTTAGAGTGTGCCTTGGTTAAAACTTAAATAATTGTGGGCCTTAAGCTCCTTCTTTTGAGCACTGAGCCACTGACAAAGATATAAGGGTTGTGTATGGAGAGCGCAGTCCTAGAGGTGTCAGAAAACATCCTGCCAGATATGTACAATTTGTACAATTGCACTAAACTCCGATTAAAACTAGGATAGGGGAACAATTTACAGGCGCATATACCGGTGCAATGAGGGTCATTTTGTATACTCTGTCTTTACTGCAAGTAGTCGGCGAACAATGACGTCGGCGTACACCTATTGCAGTGGTGAAAGCGATGTTTTAACGAAAATGCCCGCGTTAAATCATTGACTCATGTAAGCTGAAAAACAGAGTAAACGCAGATAAAAATATAAAGAAGTCACAACTTTGTCACAAAGGCAAACAAATCAACACAATAGCAACAAATTGAAAGGTCAAGCACCCGTACGTGTGAGCATCTTCCCCTCCCCTTCGCGGAGCAAAGTACGCGTAAGATGGGAAGTCCTGAGCGCGCGTCGCCGCGTCATGACGGTCTCATGACGCGCGGTGCTCATTGTGTCATCTCGCTGGAAATGCTGGAAACACGATCATTGCCCGGAGATGGACATCGCCAGCGGTAAGTGGTAGATATAAATAGCTTGCCCTTTCAGCTTTCAAGGAGGAGCTCTTTCGTGTCTCAGTGGCTAACACCATGCCCCCACAAGGTCGGATGTTCGATTCAAAGTGCTAGATATTTTTCTTTATTGCGTTTCACACACACACACACGCACGCACACACACACACACAAACACACAAATATTTTCAACACACACACACACACACACACACACACATATATATATATATATATATATATATATATATATATATATATATATATATATATATATATATATATATATATATATATATATATATATGCGATGTGAGATGGTGCTCGCCAGTGGCCAAATCCAGCGGAGAGTGACCATTTAATTGCTATTGCAATAACTGAATTACGAAAGACAAAGCTCCCAGAGAGGACGGCATGTTCCCCACGGTTACGGTTGCTACAGCAACGGCACGGATGCATAGGGCCGTATCACGATGAGTTCGGCCTGCCTTCCTTTCTTCCCTGGCCTTCAACTCCAGCTCTGTACTTTACAGTAGTTGCTGTGCAAAATGTGCTTTTATTCTTTACAGCGCACCACACGGGTTCTCGTACAAGCTTACTCACCCACATTGAAATCCTCTTGTACTTTCCGGCCATAGATTGGAAGTATCGTGAATATTCTTTGAGATTCCTGTGACAAAAACAAAATTCAGAGTGAAGCATAGCACGTGAGAGAGAGACCAAAATGACTGACGCAGATGGCTGTACTATCAACACTGTGGAGTCATTTTTGTTGGGGGGGGGGGGGGGGTTATGTGGTGGTGGCGGTGGGATGAAAAGAGGTAGTTTCGCAAAACGTGGGGTTAACTTAGTATTTTTAGAACGATTTAAGGCTACTTGTATACATTATAAATATTCGAAGCTCATGTGAAGGATACCTCTCTATTGTAGGCTGTCTCCAATGTTAGCAGACAAATCTGAATGCGTGAAAACAGACTTTTTCCTTGTACACCTTGCGTATCTGCAGGTGGTAAGTTTTTTTTTTTCAAACCACGAAGGCATGCAAAGTCATTTTTAGTGAAGCAGTGCTAACCAATAGTTCAAACATATCGCCGGTGGTAATAAGCCTTCAAAAGGTATGCTTTCCTGTTCAACAGTAGTGCATAAGCTTTGGTGCCATTACTGTGTTGGAAAGCCTAACATTTTGGCTAAATTTGATGTTAGACAGGGATACAGCGCCTCCTCGTATACAAGGATTCACAGAAAGGGGAACTGCTAAAATCTAGAATATGCTTTACAATGTGTTACATTTAAGATTACACTTGCCTGAACTGAATCTATGGAGCTAAATTATTAGGCTCGATTAGTTCACATAAGTTTACACCAGGAAACAGGCAGAAAAAGTCTTCACTTATGAAACACACCTTGATAACGCACTCGAGGTACTTCATGAGTGAAGCGTCTTCTCTAGTCACATCACGTTCCAAGTTTTCGTGAAATATTGAGTAGATTTCGTCCACAACTTTATCCTGGACATCTTGGTGGAGTCCTAAAATGTACAGCAGATACGTCAAACCCACTGCCGTCGTTTCGTGGCCCTGAAATTACAGGTTCAGGTTGCTTAAAATGTGTCATCGAAGTTAAAACTGTTTTTACATGAAGATGCAGTGAGTATAAGGTTACATTCGTCAGTAGTGTACCCGCTATATCACCGTACAACGTGAAGTGTTGTGACCTCCTCTGTTTTGTTTAGTGCTATTAGTAATGACAGAATCATGTAGTGGTATATAAATATGTTGCCTGCTTCAATATTTTACCTTGAGTCTGAAATTTACACGTGCTTTCTGTCGACGCCATCTATAGCTGTTTTTTTTTACACACCCGGCAATAGACTGAAAGAAAGCTGTAGTAGAAAGGCTGATTGTGGTTGGAAACAGTGCACTGGGATTGACAGGTTAGGAGGAGAAGCAAGGTTCACACTATGCACACAAACGGATGCTCTCACTTCATGAAAAAAAAAAAAAGAATTCGGTGTCCAGTTCGTTAAGCGCGTTCCAGCCCGTCTGTGTGCATCAAGAAGCGCATCTATATACTTATGATAATAAAATCCCCCCAGCCCCCCTTGAAAGCCCACTGTCAGAGATATTACTAACTGCTCTTCAAAGAGGAGCAAGCTTATTATTATTGTATGCTGAGCATTCATATAAGATGTTATATGATTTCTTTTGTGTCGCAGGTGTTGCAGCTGGCAGTGTCTACCGTGCGCATTAGAAATCAGTTAGTATTACTGTATGCAACTCTCAGTAGGAAGCATTGTAACAATAATTCATGCGGTCAAGTTTGATCAGGTGTTACAGTAGGACTCAGATGAAGGCATACTGGTGAACATGTCACCTATTTTCGTTTGAAAGCAACCATTTTCGGTTGAAAGCAAATTTCCTTGTCACTGAAGACAGTGAGACGTGAGCGTTGCTCTCTTTTGTAATCGTGCGTATATGTACATGTGGGCGAGCTACTCCTGAAGAGCAATTGCACATGTTTTGTGCAATACTTAGCCTGTTAGAGGGACTTTCCTAACCGAAGCCTAAAAAGGTGTGTAATGAAACATGGATCAAAACCAGATCTTGTGGGTTTCTAAGGCTCGTGTAGTCGTGTATAGATGGCCAATGCTCGCTAAGTACGAAAACGCTCTTTTTTTGAGTCAAGTATCTCCGAATTCACCGAAATGTTCAGCTCCCGGCGTCCGCTGTCAAAAGCACGTCAATATTGAGTCCGTGAGAAGCGTCATCGTGGTTGGTCCTCACGTCTGTTGGCTGCGAGATCGAGCGGAGTCGCCACCTGTGTTTATTAGGCCAGCTTGACATATATCTTCATGACTAGATCACCAGCATAATATTGAACCCATTTTCGCTCGCTCTAATCTGTTCTATCACTCGCCACTTCTCATCGCCATTCGTGCATGGAACGTTCTGCCTACTGACATCGCTCACATTGTCGATCATGAACCATTTGTTAATCATGTAAAGTCATTCCTCAAACTCGAAGCTAATCGTTATCAAGACTTGTGTTCTCCCTCTGATGAAAATACTATTTATTATTCAATGTTTGAATCGTGGTTGCTTTTTTTGTTATGATTGTTTTTTTTAGCCATTGTTTACTTTCAAACGTTTCTGTTTTTACTTACTCTTTTCATGTATTTCTATTGTATTGTTTAGTTTTTTGTATATTGTTGGCCCCAATCACTGTCCTCTGGGCCTTTATGCCCTCTGGGCATAAATGCCCTCTGGGCCTTTAGGGTATCAGAATAATCATAAAAAAAAACAGAATCAGGCAAAAAAAAATAACATTAGCGTGTAAGGGCAAACGGTGGCACTGAACTCACCGCACAGATATGCGGGCTTGCTACGATCTTGTTTTCGCTCTTTTTAGGTTGTATGCAGATGACAAAAAAGTAAATAATTAGTTCAGTCACGTGCGTAGCAGGCGGAAAACAAAGTCACTCACGGTGAGTATCCCTTTGAAAGACATAATGCGCTTTACTCGCTGTTAATAGTAACGTTGCGTAGACTTCGTGCACCGATTGAGCAGAGAGGAGCGTAGATATTGCTGAACCGCCTATCTACACTCCGCGGAGACGGTGGTGCCACCTATAGACCAATCTTGCCACCAATAGAATGAGCGCTACGGAGATGCACTTGGCTGATTACTATTACTTAAACAGAGGCCTAAGGTCGACCCCACTGTCGACTGAATAACGCTGCATTGTCAAGCGACATGACGCAAAGTCAAGCGACATGAAAAAAATTCAAGGTACGTGATAATTATAACCTCGGTTAGCTTACCAAAATAGGTAATGATAGCAACCAGTGGATATCAGGTTAGTAGGAGAAGAGCCCTTTTTTCACTTTAAAAAGAAGGACACGCTTGCGGCGTTTCCATTCATATGGAGGCAACATCACCCCTTGAGGCACTTAAATTATGTGGTAGGATAATATACGCATTAAGATTGAGATGGCGTAAGACGGCTTACATTATATCATCAAGCTTGAGGGATGATGAACACCTAAAAATTGCCTAAGCAACTTCCATTACTACCATTGAGAAAGATTCGTCAATTATAGAATCTTGCATTAGGAGGACGCCGTACATTTTCCGATCTTTTAGTATATATCTTGTCACCCGTGATTATACCGCAATACTTTCTCCAACGTCTAACGCAAATTTATAGTTCTTACGCATATGCCGGAGAGTGGTTTGCAAGACTGCACCCTTTTGAAAGATTGATATCAATTGTTTACTCTGCAGTTTTTTTCTTGTGAAGTCATATTTTGTTTAGTGTGCGCGTATATCCGAGAATCGAGTGTGTGGGCCTCTATCTTTTCATTACTCGCTGGTGTATTGCACGATGCCTATATATTCCAATATCGAACTCCGTACGAGTAACTGAAGACGGCAAGTCTCGCATCCACTATTACCGCAATGCATCCGAAATTACCATTTGTATACTGAATCAAAGGCGGTTTTCAATTCAGCTTCCACAAAGGCTTCAAATGTTGACAAGTCTGTACATCCAGATACGCCCTATGGTGACATGTTACCTTAGCACTTAGATGACAAGGTAACTAGGAATATGGTCACGAAATTGTGTTTCTAAGTCAGTACACCAATGAACGTTTCAGGCAAGGCATTCTGATGCTAAAGTGACATCCAGACCGCTGCTATTTCATGATACCCCGAAGAACGTCTGGGAGCCATCGTCTATATAAAATGTGTAAACTATGGTTGGAGACCGACCATACTGTAGAGTTCAGCTATGCACTTGCACTTTTCTATACGGGAGGATGAGCACAATAACCTCTCGGGATTATACGGTGGGTCGCAAGTTATCAACAAATAGTTAAAAGCCTTTAATACTCTGATATTACATGAGGTTCAACATTCCAAAACCCCGATATGATTATAGGGGCCCGTTAGTGGAGGGCTCGGGTAATATCGGCCATGTGGTGTTTTTTAACGTGCACTGACAAAGAACAGTACCCGAGCCTCTACAATTTGCCCTCCACCGAAATGCGACCGCGGCCGGGATCAAACCCGTGACCTTTGGGTCAGCAAACGAGCATCTTAGCCACTGATATACCATAGTGGACAGCCTCTAAGCCTCTACGTGTCTTGTTTAAAAGATGTAATCTGCGAAGAGTAAGAAATATAAATTCTTTAGACTAAAGCACACGGTGGTTCTCGCAATGGGAAGGTATAGATTGGTGGAGAATAGTTCTTGAGCTTTTTGGCCAAAGTGCATATTGAATGGATCCGCCGCGCAAGTATACGGAAGTGCTGAAGGAAAGGCATGCAATGCAAAATTTGCGGCTGTCAGCCTTAATTTCAGGCCTGGGAGTATGCTGGAAGGCCATAAAGACAAGCTAACACTCAAAATGGCTGAGGAGTATTAGAAAATGTTACTATGAGTGCGTGAGCCAGCCTTCGGTGGCTCTGCATGAAATAGAATTCGCACTTTTGGCAGAGTGCGGAAACTCCCTATACCTCTCTTGTATTCGCTCTCGGCAGCGGCTGTGCCACTTTTACCACTGGCGGTTGTCAGGCATCCTACTAGATATAAATCACGAACAGAAAATTTATTTCATGACGTCACTGCTGAGGTGCCCAAATACAGGGAAAGGAAGCAAAATGGAGACGAGGAGGCTTGCCGCAGAAGCCCTCCTTTTTTACTTCGCATACAAGCGGATGGCGCTCGTGCCTTCTTTCATTTCAGGTCCGCGGGCTGCTTGGGCGACGCGGTCATTCGTAAAATTTTGTTGATCTTCTTTTCTCTTATTTCGTTCATGTTTTCCGAAAACGCGAAAGTTAGGCTGACTGATTAGTTAGTAAGTCGAAACTTGATCGACACAAATAAAAAAAACTTATTTATTGCACGTTTTGATTGATATGTGAGGTTCAACATCCCAAAAGCACTATGTGATTACGAGAGACCCCGTAGTGGAGAGATCCGGAAATTTCAACCACCTGGGGTTCTTTAAGGTGCACCCAATTCTGACCACACCGGCCTACAAAATTGCCGCCTCCATCTAAATATTGCACGTTTTGTATAAAAAAATAGACATATACGTAGTGTCAAAGCGTCAATCTATAAAAGCAGCTTTAACTTACAACTGGCATACCACCATAATAAGGAAACGTTAAATCCAGAATATCCGAACAAATGCGAAAATTATCAGGTTGCGAGTACAAGTCATATTTGACTCAATCAAGTTTGTCATGCCGGCGGGCGTATTTTTCTTGCAGAACATGAGTACCAAACAAGACTGAATTTCAGAGGTATACGGGGAGGCTTCAAGCAATGAAAAATTTTTCAAGGGAGGACATCGCTTAAAACAGTGTATTGGCAAGCTGACTTGTTCTCTTCAGGACAACAGCATCGCCTTTACAAAAAATTTTACTTGTCAAAACGTTGGCTTCATCAAAATTATCTGTAATAATTTTCAGAAGCTTTAGTCTATCGCGTGTATTTGAGTGACACTATTTGAAGTAATACAAGTTGCCATTGGAACTTGAAGTTAGCAACGTGTAACGCTAGAACCTT